TATATAATGAGAACAAGAGGAAAAGAAATCAATCAGAGGCAGAAGAAGCTGCTGCTCAGAAGAAGCCAAAAGTTGCTGACAAGCCACAGAAGCAGATCAAGAGAAAAGCTTCTGGAGAAGTTCCCTTTGTTCCCACCAAGCGTATAAAGACTAAAGGTACTAAATCATCTGTATCTTCTTTCTCTAAAATTGTTATAAATGAATCAACATTTAGTTCTATTCCTAAACCTCCTCCCACTCAAAATCAATCTATTCCTGCTCCATCTCAAAAATCTGAACCATCAAAAATTCCTTCCCCGCCAAAATCATCTGATCCCATCCCCACTACTCAACTTAAATATTTTGATATTCCTCAATCTGAACCAACAACAACAATACATGAGGACAAAATTCCATAACCACAAACAAAACTAACAGAACAACCTACAACACAACAACAACCAGAAATACAACAACCAGCTGCATCTGAACCCATAAAATCTGACCCAGTTGCATCTGAGCAAGTTGCATCTAAAACTGTTGCATCTGATCATATTGCATCTGACCTAGTTGTGTCTGAACCACCTTCATCCAAACCTTCTGAGATTCAACCAAAACCATCCAATCCTCCTGAATCAGATATTCATGACTCTGAGGTTCTGGATGTTCAACCTCTTAAAACAATGTTTGTTGTATCCTCTACATCCTGCACCCCTACCACATCATCTGATTCATCTGAATCTGATATCCATCCAGATTTCATCTCACCCCCTTCTCTTAGAACATTTGAATCTAACCAATCAGATTTACCCATTTCTTCTGAAGCTACCATTCCTAAACCCACTCCTGAACCAAGAACATCTGAATTTGTTTCAGTTGCTTATACTAAACCTTTTCCATCTGGACTTGAAATATAATTTTTTTTTGATCAACCACCTCTATCAGCTTTTGTTCCTTTTCTTGTTAAGCAAAAACAATCTGTGTTTGTTCCCTATTTTGACAATCCAAAAGCTGTCATACCTTTCATTCGCAGAATCAAACCATTCTTTCGTATTATGCCAGCTCAGAAGAAACCAACTTATCCTAGCCCTATAATCATCATTCCAAAGTTCACCATTCAACCTCCACCTCAACCCAAGCCTTTCACTTTGGAAACCCTTCTAAAACCAAAATCTAGGCTGAATGTTAATTTATTTGCAAGTTTTCAGAAATAAATAAAGATGCATTTAGGCTCTGTTCAGAAGAGATGTTTGTCAACAATGGATGCAAATGAATCTGATGCTATCTGGAATAGCTTCATCAACAGATTCAATACTGTAGCCTCAAATCTGAAGAATGTATGTTCTGATGATGCGAAGCTTAGATTTGCTGAGACTGCCAGAAGCATGATCTGGACTGTAAAAAGATCTGAACCATTGCTTCTTGAAGATGTTCCTTCATCTTCTGAAGTATTTGATACAGAAGTGACTGCTGAATCTGCTTCTGAAGAAAATCCTCTGGCTATGACTATTGTGGAACATCCCTCTGGATCTATTGCTCATGACTCTGCATCTCCAATGGAAATTGACTTTGTTCCTGCTTCAGACTCTGCCCCACCTTCTTCATCTGATATCAAGAAAGAGAATCCAGATCTTAAAGATAAGATTGCAGTTCTGGAAGCTAGACAATCTGAGATTAAGTAATGGATGGCCAAGCAAGACCAGAAGATTGAAGACATGGCACAATGGATGTCCAAGCAAGATCAGAAAAATGACAACATGGCTAAGTGAATGACAAAGCAAGAAGAGTCTTCATCTGAGATCACTAACCTGTTGAAGATGATTCTGTCCAAGCAAACCTAGTTTTTTTTCTGTATCTGATGTTTGTGCACATGTACTTGCTTTTATCTGATGATTTGTATATTTTGCTCTAAATGAATGAATGAGTCAGTGTTTTCTCTACATGATTTATCTTTTCTGTATTTCCTTTTATTTGTCTTTTAAAAGTTTTACTTTTTGATTATGACAAAAAGGGGGAGAAAATGGATCTGACTGTTCAAATAAACTCTACCTAAATGAAAATTCAGACATATAAATTTTAACTAACGTGAACTCTTAGTGTTTCAGAACATTTGAAAACTCTGACAAGTTCTTTAAGAGTAACTCTGAGATCCCCAGATCTAGTTTTAATCTATCAGACTCTGATTCTGAAACATGCATCCAAAGTCAAGATCTAATTTTTGGAACAATCAGGCTCTGATTCTGAAAAGAATACTCATACAAAAAGGGAAGTTTCTATTTCTTCTAAGTATTCAATTCAGGGGGAGATTCATCATCTCAGGGGGAGTTATAATTATATTGTTTATTGAACAAAATTTCCTATGTTTTTGTCATCATCAAAAAGGGGGAGATTGTTAGAACACATACTGGTTCTTAATAATATCTCTATGTTTTGATGATAACTCTTATGAAATTTTGTATTAAAGAATTATATACTCTAAAAATTTGTTTAAGAATGTTTGCTGAAGATATTAAAGTGAATATTATTCTAGAAGCAAATTAGACCTGAACATGAAATTATGCAAGGCTCAGAAGCATCAGAAGTATCTCTTAGAAGATTATGAGTTCTGTCTACAGAAGAATCTGAAGCAGAAGCTACAGAAGAATCTGAATCAGAAGCCAGAAGCATCTGAAGCATTGAAGAACTCTGTATGAAGAGTTTCAAGCACAGTTATTTTAGAAGACTTTGATAGTACTAACGCTGCCAGTACTGAGGATCTAATCTCAAACTCTGCTATGAACAATTACACGCTGAAAGCACACATGCTGCAAAGACTCTGATTCAGCAAACTCTGATGAACATCAGAAGGCTCTGATCAGTCAAGGCTCTGATACTTTGCTGAAACTTGTTGAAGAGGAATTCAAAGTTATGTCCGTTGGAATGGCTAAACGACTCTTTCCTCATTTATGCTAGACACAAGAACACAGACAAAAATGATTTTTCTGTGCATTCTACTTCTAGGAAAAGTCATGTGATGTGAAGACAAAAAGGCTCATACCTTTTTAGTACACAACCTTCAACGTGAAAAGACTTCTTGGACCTCTGTGCCTATAAAAGCAAGACTCCATTCATCTTCTTCAGTTGACGAAATACTTGAAAGAATTCATTACAAGCTCTCATACAACTTATACTCATTTGCTGAATTTATTTCATTGTTCTTAATCTTAAGTGAAAAATCACAGTTGTGATAAAGCTTTATTAGAAGCAAATTAAACACTTGTATTATTATTACATTTGATTGTAAAAGAACCTTAAGAAGATCCAGTTAGGATCAGTAGTTCTTGAGAAGACTTTGAACAGTTGTTCTTAGTGCTTACTATTGTAATCAGTTGATTTAATAGTGGATTAAGTCCTTGTTTGAGAAAAGCAAATCACTCTTGATAAGGGTGGACTGGAGTAGTTGAGTTCAACGAACCAGGATAAAAATCCTTGAGTTTTTTTACTAAGTTTTTCTACATACTTATTCAACCCCCCCTTCTAAGTATTTTCTCACCTTCAATTATGACCTGGTTAGATAAATTCTAGAAAGGACACCAAACTGAATCTCCGTATTCTATAAATTCCTAAATCAACTTTAGCATTTTTAATTCAAATATATTAGCAAATATTTGCATAAACTAACTGGAAATGAGCCTCAAAGTAATTCAAATCCAAATAATCATAAAACAAATAGTTGTTCAAATAATAATGACAATAACATCTAAGAAAATGAATAAATATGAATTACTAAGAAAATGACAAATTAAAAACAACTTAAAAACTTTAACTCAATAAAAAATAATATATTAGATTGAATATTACCATTCTTCTCAGCTTGGAGTATAAATTCATTAAACACATCTATAAGATATGAGTACTTTCCCAGTAAATCACCCACATGGAAGAATAAGCTACCAAGAATTAGCTATCATATTGGATATCTAATACATAGTGTTCTTCAAGGAAAATATAAATCGAGGCAGTTGCAAAAACAGTAGGAAAAAAAATGAATAAACTTATAAAGTAAACAATACAACTCAAACTAAACACATATGTAACAAAACGAAAGTAAATCTATGGTTTCATAGTTTACCAATGTTTGAAATCTAAAGGTCTAGGCTTAACTAACTTGTTGAATCTATGAATTGATTGTATGACAAAAATCCTAAATTGCAATTTCTTCATTATCTCTCTGCAAATCTTCAGCTGACTGCAACAAAACAAAATTGATTCATCAAATAGAGTTTGTATAAAATTGAAAAAATTCGAAATTAACAAAAACAAAAGTAGAATCTAGAGAGAAATTAACAACAACAAGTTTAAAAAATCGAAATTAACAATAAATAAGACTAGAATCGAGAAATTCATCTTCGTATTTTCTACGCGTTCTCTGAAGTAGGGTTTCTCTTCGTCCTCTCTTGTTCTTCTTTTCGTCTTTTAAATTTTCCAAACACAATAAAATGACAATGAAAGTTTCAATAGACAAAAAGCTTTCAACACAAAAACAACTAAATTTAAAATATTCAAAAAGTCAAATAAGATAACACAATACTACCTAGACTGTCACATATGCAAAGTTAACGTTTTTTTTTTCAATATTTATGTAAAGTTAATGTTTTTTTTTCCAACATTTAACATAAAGGATTAAGTTGGCTAGTAAAACTGTTGTTAAGAGACCAATACATGACATTATTAATTATGGGACAAAAATAAATCGTTAAATTAAGTTAAAAAATCAAAAGATTCATTAAACCTAATATTTATTTGTATTAATTAATATGCATATGAAATATAAAAAATGAGTGTGAAAATGTTTGTTCCAATATTTCAATTTTTTTCAGGGTCTAAAAAGTGTTTTTATTGTTACTGGGCCAAAGAGATAGAACAAGTGGGCTTAATACAAACCCATAAACCCAATAGAAAATTCCAAACCCTAGGTTTATATTCGACGGTGCTTCTCTTCCACCATTCTGCGATAGCCTTAGCTTCTATTCACAGGAAACATGGTTTCGCTCAAACTCCAAAAGCGTCTAGCCGCCAGTGTCCTCAAGTGCGGAAGGGGAAAGGTCTGGCTCGATCCTAATGAGGGAAACGAGATCTCCATGGCTAACTCTCGTAAGCAATTTTATCCTCACACTGATTATCGATTTCGAATCTGTTATCGTAGAATTTCATTGATTTGTTTACTCTGGTTGTGATTGTATAGATCGAAATCAAAACGACTATGCTAGTTTCAGCTTGTGTATTGTATTTTTTAGGGTTTTTGATTGGATTTTGATTTGTAGGCCAAAACATAAGGAAGCTGGTTAAGGATGGGTTTATCATCAGGAAACCTACCAAGATTCACTCCAGATCACGTGCTCGTCGGATGAAGGAAGCCAAGAGGAAAGGAAGACACTCTGGCTATGGTATTTGCTTAGCTTCATTTGGAATGGGTTATGACTAATGATTTAGGTTGCAGGATAAATTAACAGTTGTTTTGATATGATTTAATTTAGTGATGATTGTTTTTGGATTTATAAGAAAATCAGAAATGATTTTGTGTTTTATTTTCAATTTTAGGATTTGTTTTTCTTAATTCATGTTTCAGTTTAGATTGACAGTGTTCTTAATATGATATAATTTAGTTAGGATTGTTTTTTGGATTTACAAGAAATTCAGAAGTAATTGTGTTTTTTTTACAATTTCTTTTAAGTGTCTTGTTTTTCATATTTTCCATTGAAATTGTTTTTTTTTTTTCAGAAACTTATCAAAGTATATATTTTTGAAACATGAAGCTTATAAAAATAGCTTTTCATGTTCAGCATGAAACTCATTCCTTTAACCAAATCATATCTTGAAAATGCTTACACTAGTCTTATTATAGTTATAACATTTAAAATGATTTCTTACCTTCAAAAAGTGTTTTTATCCCCAAATGATCATTAACAAACCTGCAGTTATGTTCCTTTTTTGTTTGTTTGTTATCTAGTAATTGTGTAGAAACATTGTTTTATGTTCTATAGCAGATTATTCTTTTCAATATTTAAACGAGTTTGTCAATTATTGGTTAAATTTATGTAGTTGTTTTTCAGATATGAAAAGAACTGAGTTTGTATCTGTGAGTTTGTATTTGATTTACAAGGGAACAATGAATTATTACTTAATTTTGTTTGTCTGAATTCTGTTAGGTAAGAGGAAGGGTACCAGGGAGGCAAGGCTTCCAACAAAGATCCTTTGGATGAGGAGAATGCGTGTGCTCAGACGTTTGCTCCGCAAGTACCGTGAATCTAAGAAGATTGACAAACACATGTACCATGACATGTACATGAAGGTTAAGGGTAATGTGTTTAAGAATAAGAGAGTTCTAATGGAGAGCATCCACAAGTCTAAAGCTGAGAAGGCAAGAGAGAAGACCTTGTCTGACCAGTTTGAGGCCAAGCGTGCCAAGAACAAGGCCAGCCGAGAAAGGAAGTTTGCTCGGAGGGAGGAGCGTTTTGCTCAAGTGAGTTCACTATACTATCTTCAGAATCTATTTACACACATAGATTTGTATGCTTTTAGTGTTACTGTTTTAACAAGTATTTAATAGAGATTTTGCTGTTTAATTTTACTGTTACTGTGTTATACAAGTGTTTAATGGAGATTTTGCTGTTTCTTTGTAAAATGTTTAGGGTCCTGGAGGAGCAGAGAAGCCAGCAGCCGCTCCTACTGCTGTTCCACCAGTCGAAGCAGCGAAGCAAACCCAGTGAGTAACATAATTTATGCCTGACGTGTATCTACTATCTTTTGGTCATTCACTGTATGGTTTTTTAAATGAGTATCTTTTGTGCAGACCATCAAAGAAATCTAAGAAGGCTGTGGCAGCTTGAACTTGCGTGGCATAATAGTAGGGCTGGCATTCTCAGTTACTGTTCTAAAGTAGTTTTGACGAGTCATTTTGTTGGTTTAAGACATTGTTTAGTTTTCATTTGTCGGTGTATGAATTTATAATAGTCCTTGTTTTAAATGGTGTTTTGCTTATTTTGTTATGAATTTTGTTGCGGGGACTCTGATTTTATACTATGCTAGCTGTCTCTATACTTTGCAACTATGTTTACATGCTTTCTCAATTTGACTAATCTCATATGAATTTACATGCTTTTATTCGATTAGGCGCAGCTGAGCTGCAAAAGATGTTTAATATCCTATTCTATATATAATTGGTTTTGGAAGGATTTCGTAAAACTTACTGTCATTCTCTATTCAACACATATTGTCTTATTTTGTGTTTCACATGGACTGGTCTGCTGAAGATTTCATACAAGAGTTTCCCTCTTTGGGATTCACATGGACTGTTCTTTTATATGTTCATTATGGATTATTTAACCATGCAAGAGTTTACCTCTTTGGGATTCGCAACAGATTTTTATTTATAAAAAAGCCTTCATTTTGGCATAATATACAATTGATTGCCCATAGAGGATTCAAAATTCCCTCTGAACTCTCTACCTTGACTAGCTATCGACTAACAAGTTGGCAGTTACATCTTAGTTATACATTAAGTTCACAAAAAATGAAAATGAAATTTGAGTAATTTGTTACCTCAAGAGCTTGAGAGTTTGATAAGAAAAACCTTAAATAACATTGAGACAAAATTGTCGGACTTTTTCCCTCAATTTTGTCTTAGAATCGTTGGCAACAGTTTGCTATGAAATATGACCTTTTTATCCTTTGATTTCTAAATCAATTGAGGAAATAGATTACATATTGAAAAAAAAGGTAAATACAAAAAATTGAATGACACATGTATTGTTTTTTTTCTTCAATATTTTATTATTTATTGATTTGTGTATTGCAATAATCAAAATAAATATTCAAAACAAATTGTATTATGTTTAGGAGTAAAGTTTTTAATGTTGTCAATCGAATAAAATAGTATATTATAATATTTTTTTATTGACAATATTGAGGAGTTATTTCAAAATATAACAATTTTTTTTTTACTATTTAAAATTGGCAAGAAGTGAAAACACCATCACAAATTATTATGTAAGATTGCAAAAATAGAAAAATAATTTGTTACAAATTGTTAGAAGAACACTGAACCAAATAATTTATAGTTAAATATCGATATCACACTCCTCGATTATTAGAGAAACCAATGAAATAAATTATTTAATAATTAAATAAAAACTAAAATAAAAAAGGCATCACTTTTAAAAAATAAATATAAAAAATTTTATTTGTTGAGATTCATAGCATATATCCTGAATTATCTTACCCATTGATTTTAGTAGATAATTGAGGGATTAAATGGTAGTTTTTTGAGAAAAAAAAATACGTAGCGCTTGTAGAAATTTTACCTCAGTTTTTTATTGGGTGAGATGAAAGCTGTAACGTCTTGATTTTTATTCTAGTTTTTTATATTTTATTTGAGCTTTTGGAGTGTATTTTATTTAATTAATTAATATTTTTTGAAAAAAGTAAATATATTATAAGCTAAAAATCGATACAAAGCACGACGATCAAGCGATCCAGTCGCAAAAACAAGCCTATCAAGGCATCATAAGCATACTAACATGATTCATAAGGTGAGGCTTCATCCAAGATCTCTACACAATATAGTCCATAATATGAGACACAATTGTACTACTATCACTAATAGACCCAAAGCAAAAGGAATTCCTAAGATTCCACATTGTATACACTGCTTCCGCCGCTGCACACTTTAGAATTGGAGGTCTCCAACCCTTCCCTTTGCAGTCACGAATAAGCCATTCCAACTCATCATCCCAGTTTTGAGCTCTGTGGGTGATTTGCAGCCAGTCTAAAATGTCATTCTAGATCTTTCTTGTTTTCACACACTCATACAAAAGGGGCTGAATTGTTTCTTTTGCATTACAGAAGCAACACTTGTCCTCGGTTATCAAGCCTATATTACAAAGTCTGTCTTTAGTAGCAAACCTCTTGTGACAGGCCAACTAGAATGTGCTCAAAGCCCCAGGCCTTGCAGGATTGCTTAAGAACAACTTCCTCCACTCCATTATAGGATAATGACTATTTATAGAAAAATACATATTCCTAGTGCAATACTTATCCTGCTGTAACATGACTTCTCACTCAGCAAGTTGACACACCATTTGCCTCTGATTAAGAATGCCTTATAAGATCCATGAGCAGCTACCTTTGATGAGCACATTCATGATGTCTTGGTGCTTGGTGTAATAGCTATGGATCCATTTGATCCATAAACTATCAACCTTACCACACAAGTGTTAGAACACAAATTGGTTCTTAATAATGTCTCTTTGTTTTGATGATAACTGTTAGGAAATTTTTTATTTAAGAATTATATACTCTAAAATTTGATTGAGAGTTTTACTGCAGATTGTAATGATATTAACACTCCAGAAGCAAATCTGAATTGTATACAAGAAGTTATCCAGACTCTGAAGCGCCAGATGCACTCATTAGAAGATTCTGATTGCTGTTTACAGAAGATCCTGAGCGTAGTCTCCAGAAGGATCTGAAGCAGAAGCATCTGAAGCTAGTCAGAAGCATCTGAAGCTTAGAAGAATATTGTATGAAGAGTTTCTCAAAGCATAGTTTCTACAGAAGTTTCTGAAAGTACTAAAGCTGTCAAGTACTGAAGTTCTGTGACAAATATGCTCTGATGATCTACACGCTGAAAGCACACATGCTGCAGAAGACTCTGATACAACAAAGTTCTGAACATCATTAGAAGACTCTGACTCAATCAGATTCTGAAGAACTTGCTGAAAACTGAAGAAGAAATATTCAAAGATTATATCCGTTGGAGTAAATCAAACGTCTCTTTCCTCATTGGTGCTAGACACAAGAACACAGACAAAACGGATTTTTCTGTGCTTTCTACTTCTAGGAAAGGTCACTTGATGTGAAGACAAAAAGGTTCAGACTTTTTGGGACACTCTTCTCAACGCTCAGCATCCTTGGATCAGCTGCCTATATAAGGAAGACTCCACCAATTTCTTCAGTTACACAATTTGCTGAAAAGAAATCATATTATTCAAAGCTCTCATTCTTTCATTTTCTTCTTAGAATTTCTTGTACTTAAACTTAAGAGAAAAATCACTGTTGTGATAAAAGCTTTTTAGAAGCATTCATACTCTTGTATTTGATTTACATTGATTGTAAAGGTTTTCCTTAAGAGGATTCAGTTGGAATCAGTAACTCTGGAGAAGACTAAAAACAGTTGTTCTTAGGTGTTACTATTGTAATCTGTTTGATTAAATAGTGGATTAAGTCCTTGTTGAGAAAGGCAAATCACTCTAGGAAGGGTGGACTGGAGTAGTTGATTTCAAACCAGGATAAAAATAATTGTGTTATTATTTTTAAAGTATTAATCTTTCATACTTATTCAATCCCCCCTTCTAAGTATTATCTCACCTTCAGTTGGCATCAGAGCTCCGGTTCTGTGTGTGCTACCACTTAACAGTGTCAGTAAAGATCCTGAGAGAAATACTTTGATATATATTTATTTGTTACAATGGCTGATAATTCAATATCCAATATTAACAATAAATATGAAGAAAGGGACAGGATCAGCACCAAACCCCCTATGTTTGATGGGGAGAAATTTGACTATTGGAAAGACAGAATTGAGAGTTTTTTCCTAGGATATGATGCTGATCTATGGGATCTAGTCATAGATGGATATGTCCATCCCACAGATGGGAATGGCAAGAAGATTGACAGAAAATCTATGACAGATGCTCAGAAGAAAGATTTTAGAAATCATCACAAAGCCAGGACTATATTATTGAATGCAATTTCACATACTGAGTATGAAAAAATTACAAACAGGGAAACTGCTTTTGATATGTTTGAATCCCTAAAAATGACTCATGAGGGAAATTCTCAAGTTAAGGAGACAAAAGCTCTGGCTCTGATCCAGAAGTATGAGGCCTTCAAAATGGAAGACTCTGAATCTGTTGAAGCCATGTTCTCCAGATTTCAGATACTCACTGCTGGGCTGAAAGTTCTGGACAAGGGATACTCTACATCAGATCACGTAAAGAAAATCATCAGAAGTCTGCCTACCAGATGGAGACCAATGGTGACTGCCTTGAAGATGGCTAAAGATCTGAACAAGATCTCTCTAGAAGAACTCATCAGCTCACTGAGGAGCCATGAGATTGAGCTTGAGGAAGATGAACCTCAGAAGAAAGAAAAAGGTAAATATGTTGCCTTAAAATCTAACAAAACTGCTAAAGCTTTGCAGGTCATTCAAGAAAGCTCTGAAGAATCTTCTTCTGAAGAAGAAGATGAGTTATCCATGCTGTCCAGAAGGATCAACAGACTCTGGAAGCACAAGGGAAAGAAGTTCAACAACTTCAGAAGATCTGATAATAGAAAGGAATCTTCTGGGCACAGAAGATCTGGCAAGAAAGAAGTTGTGTGCTATGAGTGCAAAGAACCTGGGCATTACAAGAATGATTGCCCCAAACTTCAGAAAGAAAAACCCAAGAAGAAGTTTAACAAAAAGAAGAAGGTTCTGATGGCAACATGGGATGACTCAGATGAATCTGAATCATCTTCTGAATCAGAAGAAGAATGTGCTAATGTTGCACTGATGGCCAACACAGAGGATCAAGAGGAAGGTACCTCAGGATATGAATCAGATTCTGAATCTGATGATGACGCATAAGAGGTAATGGCTAAACTTACCAAAGAAGAACTTACAAAAGTTTTAACAGAAGTTCTTAAAAGTTATAACAATATCAAACTCAAATACAAGAAGCTGAAAAGCAATCTTGAATCTGAGATTGATCTTCTGAAAACAGAACTTGTTGAGCAAAAAGAAATAAATCTGAAAATCAAAAATGACTTTGAAATAACTCAACAAGAA